AGAAAAGAGTTCCTTTTGAAAGACGGTTTATACACAGAAGAGGAAGATTTTTCTGCCTTGTGTTTCAAGAGAAGTCACCTTTCTGTTCAGTCCCTTAGAACCACCCAGTTGCTGACAAGGAAGCCAGCTCATGCAAACCTAGAGAACGGCAGAGCAGTACATGGGATCGTATGGGGAGAAACTTACAGGAAGACGACGATGGAGTGGAGGATGTGATTGCCTGAGGTCATGAAGACAAAGTCTAGAAGCCAGAGAAGAAAACAGAGGAAGAGTCAGAAAGCTGGGGAGAAATACAAGGAGGAAGTAGGAGTTTGTTGCCCTGTATAATTTCCCGCTTTGCTGGAAGGTAGGTAGATGGGGTTGTTGTTGTGTATATGGTAGCTGAGTACTTACTGAGCCAAATGAGACTGGAAATTAGGGAGGCTGGAGGGGAAAGAACAGATGTGTCAGCCAAATATACCCCTTGGGATTTAGAGAAAATGTTGGGATAGAAACCCATTTTCTATAGTTCTAGAAAGAAGATCAAAGTAACTGGAACAAAGAGAAGAAAATACATCAAGCCAATGAGATCAAAAAAGACATCCGTCATCAACAGAAGAAAGGAAGGCAGTAGAGTGGGACACTAATGAACCTAACGGGATATGATTCAGGAGGAAAAAGGCAGAAATCAGCTGTGGGAGAAAGAAAGGTGAACCGTGAAATAGGAGACTGGTATTAGACTGCCAAGGCATAGGAGATAGAAGAAAACAGTGGGCTAGTAGGAGGACTGAAAAAGATAGCAAGGGATCTGCAGGAGGAACTGAGAGGTACAGGTGCAGGGATTTGAAGAAGAATTATGAGATTGGAAGGTCAAGCACTTTCCCATTACATACATAACTTTAATTCATCTTGTTTGTGCTTGTACATTAAGTGTTTAAGGATTCAGGAAGAAATCTACTATTTATATTTTCTTGATCTTTACATGACAAAGTATTGCACTGGGAAAACAACCTATCCATAAAAGTTTCTGGACCACTGTAAACTAGCTCAGAAAATAAACAAGGCTTTTGCTTTCGAAGCACATGCAGGGAATACAGTCTTGTCCCCCAGATACTGAGGGCAGGATTGACCTGTGACTAGCACACAAGACTTATTTTTTTCTTTCTTTAATATCATGGTTTCATGGCTCTAGACCTGGACAGGAAAATGCACAGTCCCCACAGCTTTGAGTGGTTCTTGCGGTTCATAAGGCAAAACTCCAGAGTCAATCAGAGATCTGAAGGGCAGTGCTGTGGCACGGAATATGAAACTCATTGTAATTGGAGTCATACCTGGGGTTCACATCAGGGGCAAAAATCCTTTAATGCTTTATGCCAGAATATCATCTCCAAGGAAATCTGACAGCTTCAAAGGTGTTAGTGCAAAGTTGTTGAACTTCACACACACTGCTAGATAAAGCTCACTATTCTAGAAAGTACTGCAGGTAACTCAGTCTTGCCATTCATTCGCACTCTCTTGTTATTTAGACAGCTCTGTCTATAACATTCATGCTGTATGGACAGATATAAAAGTGATTCTTAGGAAGTCCTAAAAATCCCTTGTACGAGAGGTACAAGGATCTTTACTAGAAACATTTGCATATTTACAAACTGCATACATTGTAATACACTACAACGCAGGTGGGGTTTTGTTGGGTTTTTTTTCTTCCAGACAGCTTGTAACCATCATAAACTAGAGGAGTCTGAGAAGAACATGATCATTGTTCTTTTCAGAAGTACTTTAGGATTTTTAATGGCCACAAAGTACATAGGACTTCATCTTAACATTTATGCTGAGCATTTCTTGCAACATTATGGATAAAATGGGAATAGACAAAATAGCTCTCCTGAGACACATAAACTCCAGATTTAACACAGTTTGAAAATCAGGTGCACTAAGGTAATGTTCCAAAACAGCTTCAAAGCCAGTCACCCTTGCAGGTGTTGAATACCTGTGGCCCCTTTTCTCCTTGTGTTTAATTTCCTGTTTCTTACTGAATGTGTGCTCTGTGCCATTTCATTTCAACATCTCAAAAAAACATCATCCCACAAAACAAACCTTTTAAATTTCCTGATGTGCAAAAACTTGATTCCAGTAACAGGAGAAGAGAGAAAAATCATATAAACCTCAACATTTTCAATGGCTTCCAGCAGAATATTTTTCTTTTTCTACCAGCTGAATCCTGTCTTCATTCTTAGCTGTTATCTCCCCCTTCCTGATGTGTCTAGCATAACAGAGCTAAAGTTTTTGTCTGATAACACGGATTTAGTTGCTGTGACTAGTGCTGCTTCCTTTCGTGCAAGCTGTTCTAGCCTGCTTTGTTCTCCAGAGTTTTGCCTTCTGTTGCACACAGTGCAGGCTGGTCTTTTATCCCAGTCTCTGTTTGGCCGATTGTTGATTTTGTTGTTGTTGTAATGGAGATCTTAATGGCCAAACTGCTGTAGGAAAATGTTTCAGAGAAAATGAATGAATTTGTAAAGAAACTGTGCCACCCAGCAAATTGTATGGGCTGTTGCCTCAAAGAACATTACTTGCTTTTCCATGTTTGGTTAGAGGGCATATTTATTCAGAAGATGCTTGGACTCCTTTAAAATATGATTAAATTGATGGAGCCATTCTTTAGATCTATGAGACGATCTAGATTTCAAACAGCTGAAAGAGCATAATTGGTTAAGATACGTTAAGTTGTAATCACATGCAACTCTTTCAAACTAATTTATGCTTTTCTAACTTCTGGTCGGGTACTTTTTTTTCAGTTAGAGGATATAAAACTTACAGAATATTGAATAGTAATATATCAGTAACTAACAATTGCATATAATTTCTTTTTCTGCTTGGACTAGTCAGCGGTTTGATACAGGTAGTTTTTTTCAGAGCATAAGAACATGGTCAGATCTCCAATAAATTAGTAAGAATCTTATAATGAAATTCAAAGAGCTGGACATCAAGCTGAATACAGCGAATCAAATATATCCTCAGGTAAATGACAGCCAAGAAAGAGATTTCAGGATTGAAACATGAAAATTGATAGAAATAAGTGATCTTACAATGTTGGAAAGAAGCTGCATGGAGAGGTTTCCAGCTTAATCTCCTCAGCATGTCAGCTGGCTTACTGGAAGTCATCCTTAAAGCAAAGTCCACCAAATTCAATGTGTGGCTTGCTTCTGGTAGGTCCCTCTGAGAAACTGGTAATACTGGGACATGGTTCATGTTTTTCCTTGGGCACGAACCAACTGAATCGGTTCATAAAACATGATCTTGAGAGCACCTCAGTAGTTTGTCAGTGTAAGGGGTCAGCAAGTAGAGCAGTAAGACTAAAATGCAAGGGTATTTTATAGTATTCCTGATCTTCTAACTGTAGATGGGCATTTGGACACACAAGTAATGGTTTCAGGGTTAAAAAAGGTAGATGTGGACATTTTGAAATGGCTTGGGATTCAATATTACAGTGACCGCAGTGTATGGAGAAACCATTGTGAGATGATGATTTTTTCTGTGCAGTTGCAAATTTAGGATCAGTAACTAAAGCACTTGAGTATCCTAGGAGAGTATGTGAAATAAGAAACTCTCACTGAGGAGTGGTTATACATTCAAATGATTCTGCTGTCATATGAAAAACTGCTCAACAGTATGATTAAAGGCTTGCTATCCGGTTGCAATAAAGTATGGTTTTCAACAGAATATTGACTTCAGTGGGGCTATTTTCATAGGCTACCACCAGGGAAAAATGTTCCCACTTCAGTCTTTGTTAGTGAAGGTTTTGATCCTTTGTCAGGGAAGGAATGTGTCACAGATTCATGAACAAATTCATTTCTGTATTAGAAAAGATTGAAGATTTCTTTTTTTTTTAAAGTAGTGAAACAAACAACATTAGTAATAGTTTTAAGCAATAATTAACAGTGAATTGATGAAGCAGGAGATAAACACTGTTGCATGTTAAATTTTTGCATATGATTACAACCTATCATCTAGCATGTTTATTGTACATTTTAAGAATATAAGTACTGAGTCAAAATACACATAGTTAATATACATGGATTAGAAAGTCCAAATTAAATTTGTAGTCAAATATGCATGAACGTGTATGCACTTGGTAGACACTAGTGACATTTTCCTGTTCCATCGTAGTCCCATTTAATAAACATGAATACTTAAAGATTGATGACTTTCATTATGTCTGCAATATTGCTCAAGAAATTCTAGGAATAAAAATATTTCCTAAAGTGAAGTAGGTCCAGCATGAATTGGTACTGGAACTATGTGTAATGCTTACATCTTAGACCATGTCTGCACGGGAGCTTCCCGTGAGTCTGGTTCACTTTATAGTTTCTAATGTGGCTGGAAATACATCAGCAAAATCAATATATTACCTTTGTACAACAGCTCCTTTCTCCCTTTTATTTCAGGAAAACAAGCCATACCAGTAAACGAGAGGTTTTGCTGGCAGGGGTTTACTTGTGCTGAAGTCTGCTGAACACAGCCATGCTGGTCAGCAATCATGGCCCCACAGCCTTAGCCAAGACAGATGTAGCTATTATTTATCAAAGTATTTGTTCTTTGCCAGATGTAGAGCATGAGTGGTTCTTGTGAGAGGGGCAGTGCTCGCTGTCACCCGTTGACGTATGCCACAGACGGAGCATATACAACCTCCTTTTTCACTACTGTACTTCAGAGCCGCTTATGTGGAAGCCCCAGACACCAGCCAAAACAATGTTTTTACTTCCTAAGTCTGAGCACGCCATCTCTGAAGTCATATCAGTGCATGGTAACTTATATGCTCTGTATGTTAAGAAACTGTCGATATTTAATGCATTTTTCCATATAACCCACCAAACTAGCATCTCTTCAACATATTTCAGAGCAGCAGTTATCTGTTACAGTGCCACATTTTGTATCTTCTTACTAAGCTCTTTGCCACTGAATCTCACTGTCAGCACTACTTTGGGTTGTCAGAGTTATTGAAGGAGGAAAAGCTTTCTTACCTAACCGAGCTGCTGCCAGCATCGAGGTCTTGTGCTGTGACCGCACCTATGATGGTCCCCACAGGCGTATCCTCATAAACCTCCATTGTGTACACAGGCTTGCTGAAAACTGGAGGTTCATCCATGTCCAACACATTTATCTTCACAGTGGCAGTATCTTTGAATGGACCCACCGAGTGAAATCGATGGTCAAGATGGAGATTGGAGGCCTCAACTTTAAAGGTGTATGCCTTTTTTGTTTCAAAGTCTAATGGCTGTAGAAAGAACATAAGCAAAACATCAGATTTGACTAAAAATTAAACATTGCAAAATAATTTTGGTAGGATTAATCTGGCATAATTTAAGACACCTTCAGTGCAAACTGCAGCTCCTGACCTAATCATCTAAGCTTGTTTTGCAGCTCATCTCATGCTAAGTGAAATAGTTTCTGAAATAGTCACACAGGAAGTGACTGTTTTTCCCCGTCAAAAAAATCAAGATGACTGGCATGGATGCAAACAGTTACACTGGAGATGCCTGAAGTTAAATGAGTGAGATTTACCTCTTGCAAATGAGCTGTGGGCAGGTTAGCCAGAGATCTGCATTCACAGCTCCCATGCACAGGCAATAAGCTGTCTCCAGCTGATCCAGTGCCTTAAACAGAAGATTTCCATTTCTTTTAGCAGGGAAAGCTTTCAGAGGACCATGACAATGATGGAAATGAGCCCAAATGAAAACTCTGATATATATACCAATGGGTCAAACCAAACTTCAGCTATGGCTTGGAATGTGAATTCAAAGTTGATCTGAACTAAGTTTTTCCTGTAAAACATCTGTCTTAGCAGTGGATTGCTATTTGCACTATATATTTGAGCTGCATGTATGTTGAAAAATGCAGACTTTGATTCTGCCTTATGACCTTAGGTGTAATCCATAGGGTCTTGAAGGCAGCATAGCAGCTTTTGTCTACCTATCTGGGTTTTTGCATCCTGCAATCAGATTGTTTTGGCGTAGGTTTCTGTCAATGTACATCAATGTAGTGCCTTTGGTTTTAGAAAAGTAATAATCTCAAAAACCTTAATGCAGTCTTTTTTAGTTGTTAAGACACAGAAGCTTTATTTTCAGTTAAAGGATTTAACTGCGTTGTCCTTCATGTTTTTAATGTTACTGTCAGTCTTTTCCTGATATCTGGGTTACACTGGCACCTAGTGGGTTTTGCCTGTAATTGTTAAGTTGGAAATTTTCTAACGGGAAAGGATATGCTATCTGGAAAAGAGAGCAGGATCACAAGTGTATGAGCAAGAATATTTCAATGTCTGTAATTTTTTTTCCCCCAGCCATCATTACCGTAGTGTTTCCAGTCATTTGTCACAGCTAGGATAGATTTAAATTCTGCCATTTTCTGTCCTTATCACAACAGGACATAATTGGCCATATGACTGGCTGGGCTAAATTGAAGTAGCTCCATTAAAATTGAGTTACCTTGACTTACATTAGCTGAACAACTAGCATAATGATTTTAAATCCTTCTGATAGACTTTATAATTTTAATAGACTAGATGGTCAGTCTTTTCTGAGCTGGGGATTTAAAATCACTCATCCAAGTCTATATGCCATAGAAATAATCAGACTTTAAAGCCAAGCACTACTAACCAATCTACTACCACATGCAACCATCCCCCTACAGACAAAACTCTCAGTAAAAGCCAGTATGAATTGCATCTTCATGACTGGAGTGAGAGAAAGAAGAAGAAACTAAGGCTAAGAAGAAACTAATGCTAAGAAGAAACAGACAAAATCAAGTGTGGCAGATCCTGTGCCCCAGTAGTGAAACCGTAAGCTGTTACCTTCACTAAAAATCACAGAATCACAGAATGGCCTGGACTGGAAGGCACCTTAAAGAAAATCTGGTTTATAGAATCATAGAATGGTTTGGGTTGGAAGGGACCTTAAAGATCATCTAGTTCCAACCCCCCTGCCATGGGCAGGGACACCCTCCACTAGACCACGTTGCCCAAAGCCCCATCCAACCTGGCCTTGAACACTGCCAGGGAGGGGGCATCCACAGCTTCTCTGGGCAACCTGTTCCAGTGCCTCACCACCCTCACAGTAAAGAATTTTTTCCCTTGTCCTATCACTATGTGCCCTTGTAAACAGTCCCTCTCCATCTCTCCTGTAGGCCCCTTTAGGTACTGGAAGACTGCTATAAGGTCTCAGAGCCTTCTCTTCTCCAGGCTGAACAACCCCAACTGTCTCAGCCTGTCCTCATAGGAGAGGCGCTCCAGCTTCCAGCCCTCCTCTGGACTCACTCCAACAGATATATGTCTTGTTCTGGGGACCTCAGAGCTGGACACATTCATGAGAGCAGAGTAGATGGGGAGAATCACCTCCCTGGGCCTGCTGGCCATGCTTCTTTTGATGCAGCCCAGGACACGGTTGGCTTTCTGGGCTGCAAGCACCCACTGCCGGCTCCTGTGTAGCTTCTCATCTACCAACACCCCCAAGTCCTTCTCCTCGGGGCTGCTCTCAATCCATTCTCTGCCCAGCCTATAGTCGTGCTTGGGATTGCCCCGACCCACGTGCAGGACCTTGCACTTGGCCTTGTTGAACTTCATGCGGTTCACACAGGCCCACCTCTCCAGCCTGTTAAGGTCCCTCTGGATGGCATCCCTTCCCTCCAGGAAGGGACATGCTGCTTCATTATCCAAATTGTTGTCACACTTTCTTTTCAGTTCCTATACTATTCATGTTCACTGTTATGCATTACCAAAAAAATCCCAACCAACCAACTAACACACCCCCCCCCCCCCCCCCAACTCTTCTCCAGGTGATTATATAAAGTGTTAATGCATTTTCAAAAAATATATGAAGGGGAGAAGACCTGGAGTTTAAAAAACTGGTCATGAGCAGAAAAAGTCTAAGTATGAGGGGTTAAGCTAGCGATAAATGACTAAGAGAAAGCAAGAAATCTAAGCTCTCAATTAAGTAGTAATTCTAACCGACATCTTGTATGTATCTTTCATACCCCAAAAATTACATTAAAACTGTTCGGACTGGCTCCTGTGATGCATGAGTATATTTGCAGGTAGATATGCTAATGGCAAGAGCCATAATTCATGCGGTCCTTGCAGGCTGCCTTTCACTGAGTTCTTCTTCAAGGCACCAGTAGCAGATCATGGTCCTTGGCCAGTGCCCAGTCACAGTTTTCATGATGCAAGGGGAACAGAGTCCTTGTTTGGGGATGGACAGAAAGCAATAATACACAGATAACACATTAATACATAGAAAGCAATTCTGTGTATTGGTGTGCTCAGGCTGGCATATTTTACAGCACAGCTAGCCAGAAGTCAGATAAAATGGCTGCATTACTTCCCCCCCCCCCCCCCCCCCCCAGCATTATGGGGCGATGCTATGGTATATTTTTGAAAAGACAGTTTGACGCCAAGAAAGGAAAATGTTTTCCCATTGTAACCTCAGAGCAACCCATTCTCTTTGTCCTTCTCTGGGTCTGACGATAAATAGTTAGATGTTAAACAATATGCAACCAATGCAAAGCACACATGGCACTCAAACTAAGAAGAGGCAGGCTGAAAGTGCTGAGCCATCATCAGGGAAAGAAATCAGTGGCAGACTGCCATAAAATGCCAGCATTTAGCCCTTTAATATAAGTAAGGCTAAACTGCACCTGAACCATCTGTGGAAAGATGGGAAATGTTGCAAATATGGTAAACCAGGATTTAATTTCAAAACCAAAAAGATTTTGTCAACATATATCATGTAGCAAAAGAGTATGGTTTTAATGTATATCGTGTTTATGGGGAGTCTATGCTACAGTCTCCCGATCAGTTCTGGTCTTCCCAGTTTTGAACAGTTGAGCCATATAAATAGCTATTGACAGTCTCAAATATTGGCATTTGTCTTATATGCCCAGAGTTTGCCTGAGAACAGAAGAATTGAATGCCTGCCTAGCTCTCAGGCAAAAGGCAAAACCTTTTTGATTTTTACTTTTAAAGATGTTAAAATAGCATTTCTTTGTATTTATTTTTTTTAGCATATACCACTAAAATCGGTGAAGGAAATGAGTGGTCCACACAACAGTTTAGCTGCCTGTCTTTTTTTTTTTTTTTCTTTTTTAAACAATTTTGCTGTTACATAATAGATGTCTGACAGTGCACAATCTTATTTTCATTTAAAATCTGGAATGCTGGTAAGGGTACAAACATAGAAGAATGTTTGAATCTTAGAGAAAAAAACTGTAAGATTATCGAAACCGCTTTCAATTAATCAGATTTTAATGGAATGGCTTCATAGAAGTGTTTTTTTAAATAACCAGTAGAAATATTTATTCCTTCTATAAAAACTTTATTCAGAAAGCTAAGTTTGAATGTCTTTTATTTTACACATATTACAAGTTTTTCCACAGTAAACAGCATTTTTGCTAATATTAAGGCAATGTCTTATTAACTGTGAACTATTCAACAATTAGAGGAGTATTTCTAGTTGATACTCTAAGTACCAGTGACAGAATAGATGTATTTGGCCCCCCTACTGGTTCTTATCTGCCTTTTCCTGTGTTGCGGTTACAAGCTACTCTACATAGTTGCATAGTAAAGCACTATTAGCATATACACAGCCATGTGCAGCAAGGGCATTCTGCAAATCCCAAAATCAAATAATACATACTGACAAATCACTTTATCTTGCAACTCTGGAAGTACCATGAACAGACTTATTTAGTAAGACTAGGAAAACACATAAACAACTCCGTGTTAGAAATAAATATATTTTGAAATAGTACTGTTTCCCATTTTCAAGGTAGAAGAAATGCTACTGTATAGATATATCTGTATCTAAATTTATGCATTAGATAGATAGATAGATATAGAATTAAAGAACTGAAAGGAAAAAAAAATGGGCTGAAAGGTATAATGAATTCTGATGAGAAGCATGGCAAAGGTGGGAAAAGAACTATCCTGTCACTTTACTCTGCTTCACAAAGAAGCAGGACCAGAAACTCCAGAATCTTCTGCTTTTTAGCCACACGTAACAGATACAACAGTTTTGTTTGTGATAGAGGCTTTCATGATCCACACCTACAATGACAGAAAAGATGTATTTTGGGATGAGACTGTAAGCTGCAGGACATATACATAGTTACAGACAGTAGCACTGGGTTGAGAGGAAGTGCACATTCACTTAGGCTTGTCTTCATACTAGTGTTGCGCAATGGTGTCACGTCTGCCTGTCTCAAAACCTGTCAACACTGTTCCCTTGA